GTGTCTGTCCGGCACTCCCGGTAAGTGAGCGTCTTCATCCACGCTCCAGCTGCCTTAGCCCTGGTGAGCATTCTAGTCACTGCTCTGGACTTGAAGCTTGGCCGCGCGGGGCCACATGTGTGAGGACAATAGCTCCTAAACAAGTACATAGGCATTCAAGTCTAGAAATCTTTGTTTTAACCTATCATTAATTGAATACTCACTGTCTTCTAAGCACTTGGCTTTTCTTTCATTTGAACCTCACAGCAGCATGACAAAATAGGTACTATTATTAGGACCTCATTTATAGATGAGGAAACAGAGCTAAGAAAGCGCTGCTAATTTGCCCAAGGCCACACATCTAAACGGCAAAGCCGCAGTTTGAAACTAGACCTAACTGAGGTGATAGTAAAATTGCTCCCACTTATCAAGGGCTCATTATACAGCAGGCACTGTTAAACTCACCACAGTATCCTAAGAACCTAAGCAGTAGGTTCTCTTATTATCCATACTTTATAAAAGAGGAAACTGAAGCTTAGAGATACTAAGTCATTTTCCCAAAGTCACATAGCTGGATAAGTGGCAGGATAAAAATGTAGAGCCAAGTTTGCAAGTTCCCAAACTCTCATAATATTATCTTGTGCTTAAAATATAGGGTTTTTTTTATATGCAGCAGCAATGGTCAAACCCTTATTTCAATACCATGTCTAATTTTATATATCACAGCTTCCATGTGCAAAGAGATGTCTTGTGTCTATTATCAGATATTAAAAAGGTTCTACCAACCTAGCAGTAACTGACTTCCCTTATCTCCAGTGAGTGCAGAGTAAAAGGAAATGAACTTCTGGCTCTCTTCAGACTTCAGGAGTGGAAAATACTGACCAGTTAGATTGACCTTTTGGGAGCATGAAAGACAAGTATGCAGGACTGGGTGAAGCTCTTTTGACATCTCTATTCTCCCCCACTTCAGATTTTCTTCTGGCTTCCTCTTTGACTTCTCATGCTTAGTTCTCAGACTGAAACTTACAGAAGCATGTGGACAGGACATAGGGACTTCTAGAGTTCCAAGAAGTCTGCATTGCTTTTGTATACCTATTATACTAAGCTGAGTCTAAATACTCTAGAAACGAGTTACCCCTTGGGAATTCTTCTAGCTTTATCTAACGGTATATACCATGAACTTTAAGAGAGTTTCTCTCCTTTACATGCCAGGAAACCATCTCATTTGTTTGACGTGGAACTATCCATTCCTTACAAGTTGGGAAATGCTACTAGAGTGGAGAACTTTTAGACTTAGTGCTATTTAAAAGAGAGGAATTAGCCATTGTATGTTTTGTCCTCACCATCAACTTACCATTCCCTTTCTCCTCTCCCTTCCCATACCTAATTCTTTATATGTGAAATTACACAGATATTAAAAAATCCCACCTTATATATAGGGTGCTAGTTTCATTTATTCGGTGTGAAACTTTGGAAACTGGTCTGCTTATGTAAGCTTTACAAGCATGTAACAGGTCACATGGAGGGAAACAAGGGAAGAGGATGGTTGGCTCTCCCCCACTGCAGTTTACTGTCAAAGAATGGAGTAGTGCGATATAGATACTGCGGAGACTCATTAATCACAGTATTTGGTAAAGTCTGGGATCCCAAAGCTGAATATTTTTGGTAAAAGAGGAATAAGGAGTTAGAAGGGTATGAAAGTATACAAATGAGTTGGGGAAGGAGAAATGGTAGCAATAAAGAACAGGGAAAGGGAAAAAAAGGATAGAAATGGAAACAAAAAGGTATTCAATACTAAAGAGCGGAAAAGGGAAAAGATAAAGGAAGAAATTATAAGGGAAGAAGCTAGATTTAAAGAAATAGGCCAGAAAAAAGGTAGAGGGTATGGCATTTCTCTTGTGCTTGACTGGATGGGCTATTGGACTGTGAAGTTCTAGAGGAAGCAGAAGGCACACAGAGGGGGCTTCCGTGCTCAGTGTGCCCACGGCAGAGCATTTTGGGACTGCACTGGCTTAGTTAATCTGCTGACATCAGTGTGGGGTAATGATATCCTCCCCAAACCCTTTTTCAAATTTGTTTCATTTTAGGCTGTCAAAAGAAACGAGTCTTTAACAAGCCTGAACTTAGAAAAAAAAGCTCGCCTGAGAGAAGAAGCAACTCTGAAGGCCAAAACAGAGTAGCAGAGGTATCTGTGTTGGCTGGATTTTGAAATTGCAGGAATAATGTTGCAGCAATTAGCCTGTATTAAAAAATACGGTATGAGGATCCATTTCATGAAAGTATGGTTTGCACAGATTTGTAATTTCCCCATTCCTGATATAGTGGGACAAATAAATTTCTTTAAAGAAACAACTTGTCTATATTTTTGTGGCTGTGATCTAGGTTAAATGCAGCCTTTCAGCTTTTTGGAGGAAATGAATGAAAAATGGGGCAAATTATTTAAACCTTAGTATTAACTCTTTAGAGAGTCAGATACCATATCTTTAATTTCCATTACCAAAGTGATTTTCTCTGCAGAAGCTAAATGGCTTGTAGTTCTATATTTCTGTGTATTCATTTCTAGAGAGATAAGGAAGGCCGGCTGCGTACACGCCTAGGTGCATCTTGTAGAGCTAACCTCCCCAAATGTGGTGGTGCTTCTGAGAGTCCTGCAAAGCAGCCTGGTCAGACTCTTCCATCTTTGGGCATGCTGACAGACAGAGGCTTGTCAGAGAGCAGTCTTGTAAAAGGTTCCTGTAAGGTGATGAGAGTGGTCTGGCCACAAGTTTCTGAGAACTCTGAAATCCCAGCACCATGAAGTTGCTTGGGGCCATCAGTCCCCTTTTCTACTCCATAGCTTAGAATTCCCAATTGGTCCTTTTCCTTTTGCCTTTACACTGAATTTCTCAATGATGAATATCTTTCAAATACATTTTCTTACAAGTTTTGAAAGATAAGCATTTGCATGTGGTTATATATTTCATTTACATTTTGGGATGCCAAGCCATTTCATTTTAGATATTGGATGCTGGATTCTATTTTAAGTATTTCATATATTCTCACATGCCTCATATTAATGGATGACATGGACAAGTTTGCATAGCCATCCCAACCTGCCAGTTGTCTCCAGAGGAGTATAACCGATAGAAAGTAATATATGCATCTGCATTGGAACTTGACTTAATAAACTACTAAGTGAAATGGAATATACCACATTTGATTTCATTATCTGATGATGTTGGTGATGTCTCTTGATACACTTTTAGAGTAATTGGACCTTAGCTTTTTAGATACCAACTTCTTTGATTTTAACCTATTTCTTTTAAAAATAAGTAATTTTTCTTCATAGAACACTATCATTTTTAACTTCTAAATAAGTATTTTAAAGTGTTATCTTGGAGATTTATTGTAAAAAAAAAAAAATGTTTCATTAAACCAAAACTCACAAATGTTACTGTACAGCAAGAATTTTCAGGATCATTTTTCATTTTGTCTCATTCTCCTACTCAGTTACTTAGAGTAACTACTTCTTTATGGGTTAAACATAAATTTCTTGGCCAGAATTTTGGACTTGTCTCTGTCCAACCCAAGTTTGCTCACTACCGTCACATAATACCTTCTTGACAGTCATTCCTTATTAATAACTCTAATACCTTATATTCCTCAGAACTTGTCAAGCAAATCAGACTTAATGAGTGCTATTTTAAGATACTAAAGAATACAAAAAAAGGCAGTTTACCCCTGTTACTTTCAATTATTGTTTTACTATTTTTTGCTTAATTTCTATTTTTTTTCACGTTTATCATGTCTCTGTAGGTAAAGTGGGCAGAAACCATTTCCCACTTTTTATTTCCCACTATAAGCCCTGTCTGAATAAAGTTAATACACAAGCCTATGGTCAGATACTTTTTTAATAAACAAAAATAGTATGGGGACATGATTCCAAACGTTTATTGAAAGTAGGCAATATAATTCATTGTCATTCATCAAACATTACCTTAATCCCTTATATATATAAATACTGAGAATACAAAATGAGTAAAACATACTTCTTTACAGAGCTCATAATTTATGGAAACATGGCCCATGAAACGGCTACAATACAAACTGGTAAAAGATATATTCTGAACTTTATATAACAGTCGCTATAGAAAGAAACAAAACCTAACTCAGCTGTCAGTTGTGGTTCCAGTCAAGCAGGCAGTGCTGGTCCACAAAGTGGTGATTTCTGTTTGAAGCATGGAGTTACTAGGAGTTACTAGGTCAGACACATGGTGAAAGAGAATAGCCACACCATTTAGACATTTAGTTTGCTTGATAATCATGAGGCACAGTCTGACCAGGGTAGTGAGAAGTCCCTCAGCAAAATGCCATTTATAATGTTTTGGTTTACTTTCAGTTTTTATCTCGATACAAAATTTAAGATGGTTAACAGAATGAACCAATGACTTATTTTTCCCAGTTTATGGACTTGATTCCATGGAACCATTTCATGTGTGAGTGGCATCTGCCATATATCTCCATTCCATCACTATCCCAGGATTATGTTCTTAACTCATCTGATCTCCCAAATCAGGAGCACTCGAGTTATGCCAAACCCCTCACTTAATCAGTCATCCTGTTTTGTAAACCATACTTTCAAATATTTCTCAAATACACTCAGAGGAACAGAGTGGGAACCTATTCAGGAATAGACATGAGTTAATACCAGACCTGAAGATTAAAAGTCAGAAGCCCTAAGTTCTAGACTTGCTTTTCCAGTTGTCTTGCTTTGTAAATTTAGGTTATAGGTCTGAAATCTTTTAATCTAAGACAATGGGTTTTTTGGTTGTTTTTAAGATTTCAATTATTTGTCAGAGAGAGAGAGAACATGTGAGTGAGCACAAGCTGGCTCCCTGCCGAGCAAGAAGCCCAATGCGGGACTTGATCCCAGGACTCTGGGATCATGACCTGAGCCGAAGGGAGGCACTTAATTGACTGAGCCACCCAGGCATTCCACCACAACCCCCCCCCCCTTTTTTAAAGATTTTATTTCTTTGTTTGTCAGAGAGAGTAAGACAATGTTAAAAAGAAACACAAAACCATACCAAAATTAAGAGAAACCATCTTTTTAAATACCTTTTTTTTTTTTTTTTGCCAATTTGGCTCTACTAGTTGATTTCTAAAGGGTTTAGTAGTTACTCATCCACAGTTTAATTGTTTTGTCATTTCCTAATGCTGCTGATGCAATGATGTTTTCTGTAGGATGACAAGCTGCTGAGATTACAACATCTGTATGACCTTGTAATTTCTGTACAATTTCTTTAGTCTGAAGGTTCCAAATGTAAACCAGATTATCTTCTGATCCAGACACAATCCATTTTCCACCAGTAACTGAAAAATTGGCAAATATGCAGTATTTCTCATTCTTATGACCAGTGTATGTTTTCAGACATCGACCTCTGCTATAATCCCACAGTTTAAGGGTATTGTCCAAAGTTGCAATTAGAAGATATCTTCCGTTTGGAGAAAATTTTACAAAAGAGATAGGAGGGTTATCATCATCAACAAGTGTTTTTAAACACTGACCTGATGCAGCATCCCAAATTCTACAGACACCATCATAGCTACCTGACACAATCAAAGACCCACTACAATTAAAATGAACAGCAGAAACTGGGTCAGAATGAGCAGACAAAGTCTTAAGGCACTTTCCTGTTTTCACCTCCCATATTTTCACACTCTCATCAAAAGATCCTGAAATGATGAGATTGGATGGTGGATTGAAATTACAGCAAAAAACATAATTACTATGCCCCTTCAGCGTTTTCAAACATTTTCCAGATCTCACATCCCAGATCTTTAGCGTCTTATCATCTGAGGCAGAAACAAGACGACTGGAGTCTGATGACCAGGCAACATCTGATATTTCCAGATCGTGACCATGAAGTGTTTTCTCATACTTTCCATCATAGGCTCCCCAAATTATAATTACTTTGTCAGCAGAAGAACTTGCTAGCCATTCTCCATTAGGACTAAACTTAACCGATGATACTGCTTCCGTATGTCCCACGAGAGTAAATTTAAGAGCATAGTTTGGTTTTTCAGACATTTGCTTGTTCGGGTTGGCTGATGAGGGAAGGCCCAACTCCGCTGGTCTAGCATCTCCTGCCTCCTTTGTCCCCATGGTTCTGAAGCTCCCAAGTCAGTAGGTTAGGTAAGCGTCCGGCCCTGAATCAGGAAGCTCGATATTCTTTCTGCCCAGCAAAATGAAGATAAAAACATCAGCCTCAAAAATTAATAGCCTTTTAGTGATTATAATTTCCGAACTGTCTTTAAACTTCTCTATACAATGATTCAGCCGAACGGCTTGGACCTCTTTTTCCTCACTTCCTCCTTTGTAAACAAATACTTGATAAAAACATTAAAAGGGTCCAATGCGCTGTCGGCAAGTGAGGTATGTTCTGGGTATTTTGTGAACGTATAAAGCCGTGCAAAGTGAACAGAGGCGTGGGTGACCTACAGGAAGTATTTTCTCACCTCCCCTCCCCCTACCCCGAAACGTTTAGAACACTAAGCAAGCCTACCATAAGTCAGAGAGACTTTCGGTACTTGAGCATGAATGAATCACCGGCTTAAACAAACGATTTCAGAAGGTTAAAAAAAAATAATAACGACAAACAAAAAAACCTGCGTAAGCATCATGAACTGTGGCCCGGGGGCCGGTGGGCTGCAGTCGGCGGATAAACACTGGAGCACACGTCCGCGTCAATCCAACCCAGCCGGCAGGACAGCGGAGCGCAGGGGCACGCCAACTTCGAGCTGAGATGACCAATGGGAGAGGTCGGCCTGCGCTTGCGCAAAGGAAGGTGCTGGCGTTCCTTCCGGTCTTCTTCGCCGGAGGCTGCCGCACGCAAACGCAAGACTTCCTTGTTTGGCCTGTGGGTAGGTTGACTGGTCTTATCCCAGACCTGACTGACTAGCGTCAGTAGCAGTGAATGTTTCAAAGAACGTTCATTTCTTTTTGGAAGCCGTGTCACAAGAAATAACTGAATTTTCCGATTCCGTTAGTGGAAAGTTAGCTCACATTTGGCACTAGCTAGTCGTCGAGTCCCCCTCCCCAGGCGCGGGTGACTGAGCATCGGCTTCACGGGCGGCTTCTGCTCCTCTCCACTCTTGTGGTACAGAGCTGGTGGCGTGTACTTGAGATTGCAGATAGGCAAGGGGCAGCTTGACTGAATTTATGCCCAGATTGTAAAGCTTCTGGTTTAAAAGTTTGGGGTAAACATTTCGGGAAGGAATGTGTTGTGGGCCTCCAGAAGCCAGTGCTTAGGACGTGGTAGTGCCGGGGAAACGAGCAAACGTTTGTTTTGGCATTTCCTTGCGCTTCCTTAAACTTTTTAAGAGAACAGGTCAAATCTGCATAGGTGCTTGAGACCGAAAAAGAGAAGTTGGTGGGACGTGGTTGAGAAATACGTAAAGTTATCTCGTAATTGGCTGTAGAGAGTCTGAAGTTTTAAGACCTGTTTAATGGCCCTGAGAGTGCTATGTAAAGATGTATGCTTTTCAAATATTAAGTTACGGTCTTTAAACAAGAATAGGTTTACTGCGGTGTCTGGTTCAGTCCCTAGAGCATGCAACTCTTGATCTCCGAGTATCGATTTCAAGCCCACCGTGGGCGAAGAGCTAACTTTAAAAAAAAAAAAAAAAAAAAGTTTACCAAAAACATTGGAAGCCTGATGAATTTCTTCTTACCTGTAATTGCTCAATAAAGAGTGCTCAAGAATGTTGTTGTTTACAAGGTTTCCCCTTTCGCTGAGCTAAAGTCTAGAGGCAAGTATCTCTCTCTTTTTTTTTTTCCTTTTTAACGTAAGCTCAAGAGTTAACGTGCTATACCACTTAGCCAGCCAAGCGCCCCGCCGCAAGTATCTCTTAATGATGTTTTCTGTTAGCCAGCAGTTAAAAGCATTGGGGAACGAATTCTCTTAGCCTATATTTATTAGGGATAATTGAAAGTCTGGCCTTTAAATGAGGCACAACGACATAATTAAATCACCTATAACAATCGTATAATAGTATAACCTCATTACCTTAAGACCCTACTACTCGAGTTTGGAATTTGGACAGGAATTGGACAAAAGCTTCAGTCTTAGGTAGTGCAAATTAACGGTGTAATAACGAGATGCTGGAAGTAGGAAGAGGATCTTTTAAGTGGTTTGGAACATCCATTTATATACATTAAATTAGGATTCTTCTTAGATCTTTTTTAAGGCAAGGCCACCATGGACCTTTCCCTCTAACATTTGAAAAAGAACTTTTCCCTTTTATGTATCTCAAAGGTCAGTTGTTAGTAAACTCTGCCATTTCCCTCTCCTTTCTTCTTGTTAGCCTGAATTGGTATGATTTTTACTAGGAAGCTTAGAAACACTCTAAAATTCTACATCAGTTGAGACTATTTTCATTTTTATTGACTATTAAAAAATAGGGGCGCCTGGGTTGGCTCAGTGGGTTAAAGCCTCTGCCTTTGGCTCAGGTCATGATCCCAGAGTCCTGGGATGGAGCCCTGCATCGGGCTCTCTGCTCAGCAGGGAGCCTGCTTCCCTGCCTACTTGTCACCTTTTCTGTCAAATAAATAAATAAAATCTTTAAAAAGAAAAATGAAAGTGCTATAGAGAACAAAGTGTAGGCTTTGTTTCAAAGATTTTAATTTGTATTTTTCCAATAACTGTTCTATACAGGAGAGTAAAGGAAATTAGACAATTTGTGACGTGAGGGCTAGGACGGGGTGTTGGTGCTGGGGTATGTTTTAGTAACCCACTAGAAATATCACACGAATGAGAAGAACAGTCAAGAATGTCTTGGTAGGTGGCACTTGGCTGGCTCAGTCAGTACAGCATGCCACTCTTTTTTTTTTTTTAAGATTTTATTTACTTATTTGACAGAGAGAGATCACAAGTAGGCAGAGAGGCAGGCAGAGAGAGAGAAAGAGAGAGAGAGAGAGAGAGAGGAGGAAGCAGGCTTCCTGCTGAGCAGAGAGCCCGATGCGGGGCTTGATCCCAGGACCCTGAGATCATGACCTGAGCCGAAGGCAGCGGCTTAACCCACTGAGCCACCCAGGCGCCCCCAGCATGCCACTCTTGATCTAAGAATGGTGAGCTCAAGCCCACATTAGGGGTAGAGTTTACTTTACCAAAAAAAAAAAAAAGTGTTGATAGGAATAACTAAAAATTTTTCTCCAGATTTTCCCAGAATGTGAAGAAATTTCCACTATTAAAATCCATTTCTAGATGTCAGAATTTTTTGTTTACAAATAGCATCAGGAATTTGTGTAAAGAAATTAAAGCTCTGAATATAAAATCTTTTTATCATGTTCTAATATGTAGTCCTGATACTGTAGTCCTTATAAATTGGGCCTAAGAATTTTGTGGCATAGGTCCTTGGGAGGAGGGGAGCATCAGCAATGTGGAGTGCATAGGAGTAGGAAATACTGGTATGAGTAAACCTAAAGTGGCAGAAACCATAATTAGAGCTTTGCATTTGCTGCTGTCAAGCAGAGTTCCTCACACGGTCCTGTTTTTAACTATTTCTATTTTTGCTGTTCCTAATCTTCACCAGATAGGTGATTTGGAAGTTTCCCTCTCTGTAGAAACCAATTTGTTTTCTTTAGATTTCCCACAAAACTTTTAGAACTTAAAGTCTCAATGGTTGAAAGGTTTATTTCCCTTCCCCTCAGTCAAGTCTGCAGATATTATAAATAGAAATGCCACAAGTTTAGGTCATTTTGGTTTTTAATAATTTTTTTTTTTGTAATGTATGTCAGGACTGAGATTAAGTCCTATTTTAAGGACTGTCTTGACTGACTCCTTTCATTGCAATTTCAGTTACCAAATCCAGTTCTCAAAAATCAAGCACAACAGAATGATGTATAGTTGCTTAGGACCATTAGCAATTTAAATCTATATAAATCTAGTTGGACTAAATACGGAGTGGTGCAGAATTTATCTAAACTGAGACCTTTCTAAAGTGAAGGGGAGACACTAAAATAATCAGCTGATGTTAATTGATCTAAAACCGGGGACTATACCTAGCAAACCAGTATAATCACTGACTTTTGGAGGCCTCTCCTCAAATCACAACTTAATTTTGGAAAATTCTACACTCTCTATATGGTGATAACCCTGTGCTCTTTCCCCACCACTGTAGTCTCCTGGGTTTCTATTTTCTCCTCACCCAACACTAAATAATGCTAGGCACAAGTGGTTTAGATAAGGCAGTGATCCAAACTGTGGATGTCCATGGGCTTCCTCAGGTGAAATGGGTATATAAAGGAATTTAGAGAGTAATTCTATTCTCTGGAGAAACATTCAAGATCACAGATAGGACCATATATTGACTTTAAAATCCAAAAAAAAAAAAAGACTTTTTCAAATTGGCAAATGAAAAAAAGGGCAACAGTCATCTATGCTAGCTTTAATAAATTTGTAAACTCAGCCATTCTGTACTATAGATAGCAGTGTAGTCTGCAGGAACTAATTCTATTTTAAGATTCTCTTTTCAGAAAAAGTACCTGGCCAGTAGAATCAGCAATACATACAATAGTAAAAATGTTTAAAAAAAAAAAAAAAAGAAAGAAAAGAAAAAGAAAGGAAAACACACCCTATTTAATAGCCTAAGGCAACCACTGCTTCCGCATAAGTTGGATATAATTGACAAAGTTGTTTTTCTTAACTTTAGAATAGGTCAGAAGAGATTAATGTGCTATTTTTGATAATACAAACACATGGGGTTGATTATGTAAGTTATCCTGTAAAATATATCCATAACTTTTCACAGAAGGCGTAAGGTTTTTTGTTTTTATATAATGAATTGCTATGACAGTGTCTTGCTTTTGTAAACTAAAGGTCAAATTAATGTCCTCCTGAAAGATAACCACATATAAAACATAAGTTGAGACACTAAGTCTAAGAGCTGTTAATTTCTGGCTTCAAACAGCAGCATAAAAGAATTCCTTTGAATTGTCTTTTGTAACCAAGTACCCTTTACTAATATCACATCGATGCATATTCCTTCAGTCATTTAGTATTTATTGAATAGTCTACTATGTGCAAGGCACTCACCCATGGCCTGACAGACCACATTCAAGTACAAAGAATCATCAGATCCATTCCAAATCAAAGCGTAAGAACACTTTGAACAACAACATAGAGTGGTCATAATGATGAAGTAAGCAGAACATACTCAACATACATTAAAAGGTGATCTTTCTAACTTTTGATATTCCTGGGGACAGTACTCCTTTAGGAAGTCAGCTGTGTTAAATTCACGTCCATGGATGGCACTGCTTTCTAAGGCAGAATTCTTCATTCCAAAGCCTTTCTTTCACTTTGTCAGTACCTTCTACATTTGAGTTTGTTGAATGGAAACATGTTTACCCATTACGCTACTAAACTCAAAATCTATCATTTGCATATATATTTTTTTGACTTCTGTTGTTTTGTCAGGTTATATACAGAATTTTAGCACCACAGAAGGGAAAAAGAAGTTTGGGCTGAGAAGCTCTACTTTACCAAATTATGTAACCTAAAAGCAACTTCATACCTTAGTTATTTTAAGGGTGCTCTTGAGAAAGAGCCAGAAAGACTGGTCTGACAAAAAGCTGAACCAGCTCTGGCTGTTGTGTAAGTCTAGTTCTGGGAGTTCCTGGCCCAGAACACCACCTCCACCATGACTGCTGCTTTCTTCCAGACACAAACTGCATAGCTCTGTCCCACCACTAGACAGTGTCTGAGGTTATGACCTTGGGGCAAAGGAAACTCTCTTAAGTCTTGACTCTGTCACCTGTAGTGACAGTTATCCACCTCAAAGGCAGCTGGAGGATTAAAAGAGAAAAAATGGAAGCCCTTACCCAGGCACCTGGCAGAAAGACTAGATGCCTTTTTGACCTATGGCAATCTACCCATAATCTTTTCTTCTTGCCCCACACTTCCAAATTTTATACCCAGTAGCAATTTGATATTGTTAAAATTAGCATATATTTGCTTTATACTTCATGACACATTTTTGTGATGTCCTGGTACTCACTGCTATTACCTATCCTTTTCTGAAATAAAGCGTATTACAGAATACTCTCAACGTTAGCGTAGACTTATGGTACTGGTGTCCCATCTGGCCTTCCATTAGTTGAACTTGAAAAAATAAATTTTTTTTTTTTTTTTAAAGGAATCTCTATTCCCAACATGGGGCTCAAACTCATGACCCTAAGATCAAGAGTTGCATGCTATACTGACTGAGCCAGCCAAGCACCCCATGAGAAAGCAATTTTTTTTTTTTTGTCAATCTTTTTCATTTTTAAATTGTTTTTAAAGTAAGATAACTTTTGAGTAGGCGCCACACCCAGCGTGGGACTGGAACTCAGGCCCTGAGATCAGGAGTCACATGCTCTACCCACTGACCCTCCAGGTGCCTGATAAAAACTTTAACTTTTGATAGAGAAATGTAGCCAAAAATATTTCCCAGGTTGGCAGATACGTACTTACTCTTCTCACCTAACAACAGATGAAAGTGACTGTTAGTTTCAGGTAGCAAAAAATTCAGATTCGAGACTTCATATATAGATAAGTACACCTGTTTCTCAAATGAGCAAATTTTGGAATGTAGGAGGTAGAACATAGTATATAAATATG